ATCTACGTTTACCATTTTTTTGCAGTGGGCTTTCCTTATTAGAAATATTAAAAAAAACTTTACCTATCCATTCGGCGCCATTCTCTCTTAACAATACTTCCAATTTTTTTATCCATCATAAAGCCCCAGTCCACTCTATCAAAGCCTTTTGGCATCAATTGGACAAAAAAGCACTACGGGGCTTTCCACTTTTTTACTTTTATGGATAAGCATCAGAGTTCTTCAAGCCATGATCTCTTCCCTCTTCTCCCATGAACACAAAGCCCACCCTGGTCTCCTTGAATTCCATTTCGGGCATTAGATCTGTACAAGCCGGTTGCTATTATCAAACCTTTGCGTATACAAACTTTAGTATGTGGTTTATAATGAATTTGGTTCTGTAGCTAGTGCAATGAGAGGGATCTTTTCCAATTATGGTTGAGAACTTACATTCGGCCTGAAGGGATTTCCTCCTCCTCCCCTTATCATCCACTCTTTAAGGCATCATTAATGTATTTCTTTAACTTTGGGAAACATTTACTTCTCTAATTTTTTATAGTACTTAACTGTATTAATATATCCGGGCCTGGGCTTTTCCCCTCCACCTTGTATCATTCTTTTTGCTGCTTACTATTTCTTGATTTCTGCCATCCAAGGGAGTCCAGTTGTGTTTCGCTAGCTTTGGCAATCCCGCATTTTTTAATATATGTCCTCCTTTTTTATTTTTATTATATTTTAATTTCTTTTGATGATCCTTGGTGACTGATATTATACAACTTTCTATAATACTCCGTGATTATATTTAATAATTTCTTTAGTTGAGTGGTCCATCTCCCCTTAGGGCTTTTTATCTTTTTCTATATAATTCTGTTCTTTCTTTTGGCTCTCATTAATTTATTTATTTACCTGGTTAATCAACACATCTATAAATTCCAAATCTTTACTTAATTACTTTATTAGTATATTCTTCTCCTCTCCTTCTTTCCATCAGGTCTCTCTCCTATTTTTTTCATCTTTTTTATCCCTTATTCTTTTCTGGTATTGTTTGTATTGTTATTTTTTTCATTTTGTATCTGCTCCAATTGGATTCTCTGTTAAGAGCTAACCTCTCTTGTTCAGCTTCTTTTTTTTGCCTTGCTGCCCCTTAAATCATGGGATTCCTCTTATATATTTACCCTTATAAAACTTTCCCCTAATGTATAGCTGTCGTTACTTCCTACTGTTTCATTTCTCCGGAAATATACACAATATCTTCTCTGATCTTCTGCCCATGTGTATTCCTCAATCAAGAAAAGATCGGTGTTTTTTTCATTCAACCTCCTTCTAAACCTCCGGTCCACCTTTTCCCCATCATATTTTTCATTACGACTGGGGCATGGTCCCGAAAAAGTTGCCTGTAGTGATAACCAGCCCCCATTTCATTGAGTTGTTGATCTATTAGAATGTAATCCAATCTCGAGTATATCTCATGTGCTTAGAGGAGAAGGTATAGTCTCTGTCCTTCATAAGCATTTAATTCTCCAGGTGTCCACAGTTGGTAGGATCGCCTTCACTCAAGTAGCGTGTCTTTCTCAGAGACCTACCCTCCTTCTCTCCGCACAAGGGAGGTTGCATTTGTGGGTCCCTACAGAGATTCAAATCTCCTGCTATTATCAAACGCCTTTTTTAAAATCTATCAATTTTTTTAGACAAACCTTCAGAAAGATCTCAGGTTTCTTGTTGGGGCAATTTATATTGGCTAGTGTGCATTCAATTCCCTGTAATTTACCTTTCAAAAAAAGGATATCTCCCTTCCGGGTCAGTCCTTCTATCTTCCAACTCAAATCTCATATTTTAATTGCCAATTCCTATGGCCCACCCCCTTTGCTCTTTTAATTGGTGAGTCAGCGTAAATACCATGTAGGATAATATTTAGATTTTAATTTCACATTATTCTACTCATAAATGTGTCTCCTGCAAAAATACCACTGACGTTGCCCTGTGATGTAACTCTTTAGATACAACTTAAATTTTCCCAGGGCAGTTCAACCCATTCACATTATTATGTTATAGGGGAACTGTATTTCTTCGCATCCTTCCTATTTTGGTTTTTTTTTATCTTTTCTTGTTCGCTTTCCTCCTATTTGGAACGATATGATTGGCAGAATATTAGCCCCACTCCCTCCCAACCCCCCTCCCCCCCCTCCCCCCCCACCCCGCCCGCCCTCTCTTACTTTTCCCTGTCATTTTTTAGGCTTATATACTCTGCCTTACAATCATTTGTGGAACTGTTTCACAGTTGATTTAAAATATTGGGCGTGTGACCTCCGAGCCCCATGGACGACTCAGAACCTTTCCTCGACCTCCCGTATTCCCCTTCTACTCCCCAACTCAACCGGATCCTCCAGATGGGACTTTCCACCTCAAAAAAGGGGGCATTACTAGGGGGGGCAAGGGATAACAAGAGATAGTGAGATAAAAAAAAAAAAAAATATAAAAAAGTATTTTTCCTGTTCACTTCTCCCTCCCCCCTCCCCAATCCCTGAGCCTCTCTCCCCTTCCCCCCGACACTGCCGCCGAATCCTCCCCTACCGATGCTATCCGAGTCTCCTTTTTCTTTCTTCTTCTTCGCCACCCAGTTATCTCCATTCTTTGCAGGCCCTGTCTATCACAAAATCTCGTCAGTTCCTACGGGAATCTCATGGTATGCTGTCACCCCACTCTTCCAGCCAATTAAAGATGCAAGTGCACCCCATCTATATTGCAACGTTCTGTTTTCTCATTTTGCTCTAACAGGGGTCTCAGGGTTCTCCTTCTCCACAGAGTCTCTGGTGTTAAATCCGCACAAAAATTTGAACAGTCAAATCTCAATATTTGATTAACGTTTTCCCTTGATCTTCTTCCAAAATCTCAGTTTTTGACCCCAAAGTTCTGGAACTGTACTAACTATATCACCTCGGTCTTTCCCTCTCAGTATCTTGTTTGAACTTTCCTATTATTGAAAACTCCATCCAGTTCAATCACTTCTATTTCAGGTCTGTCTCTTTATGGAGTTAAGATTTTTTTAACTAGTTCATGTAATTGTTTCCCCTTTTGCTGCCTGCTGGAATTCCTCATCTACCCTAAGGGTTAGACCTTCTTTCTTTATTTTCTCGAATTTCATCCTGTAGATATCAGTTTTTTCTGGGTTTTCTCCAAAATGGGGGTTAATTTTTTTCCTTAGCTTATCTATGGTTTGGGCCTGGGTTTTGACTTTCTCATCTGTTTCTTCCATTCTCGTTAGCAGATGCCCTAAAAGTTCCGAATTACTGTCATTTCATGTTTTATCGTTTTCTCCATAACTTTGGAACATTTCTATCATCTCCTTCTTATTCGGTATTTGTAGTTTCTCCATCAAGTTCTTTTTGACCCAGGCCATCCGCTATTTGTTGCGGCTACAACTGCTGTTCATACCCATTGATAGTCTCGGGCTGTTTTCCTGAGCTAATGTCCATTTCCCCTTTGGCGCTTGCGCCTTGGGCCCTTTCTGGCGTATGTTTCCATTGTAAATTTCTTTATCGTGCCTGATTGAGACCCTTTAAGCCCTGCTCCCTTAGGACCTTTATTCTTCATATCCTCAATAAAATCTTTTGTCTTCTATATTCTTAGATGGGGTTATATCTCTCCTCTTTGGTTTGTAATCCAGACAGGTTTACTGAGTTTACTTGTGCTCTCCTAGGGGAACATGGATCTCTTCTCTTCTAAACTCAGGGAATCCTCTCCTCTTCTCCTTAGCCCCTTGTTCCCCACTGTCACTCAAGAATCCACTACAACAATACAATAGAATAGGCCCCAGCAGGTCTCACTCACCCTTCTCTTCCCCAGATGGTGACTCCAAGTTTGGTCGGAAGGTCTCCACAACAGCTCTGTCCTGGGGGGGGATTCCTCCGGGCCTCCAAACTCTGCACCTCGGTTTTCTTTCCCTTTTATTTTTTTTCCTTTTGCCTCTGGGCTTCGTCCCAGGGATGCAGGGTGGGTCTCCTGGCGCTCCCGGGCTCCCTGACCCAGAATCGTAGAGTCAGCTGGCCGGGGGCCCCAGGCAGCAATAGACCGGGGGTTGCACACAGCAGCCGGGGACCATGAACAGTAATCAGCCGGCGGGGGGGGTTGAGGGCAGCAGAGAGCCAGCGACTGCAGCCGGCGTTCTCGCCGTCAGTTCAGGCGGCCGGCGGCTTTCTCCTCTCCCAGAGAGCCTCCGCGGCCGGTCACACACCCCCGCCACGTCACTCCGCTCTCCAGCCGTCCGGGTCCTTCCTCTCACCAAGGACCGGAGAGGCTGGTCCGTCGCTGCGACCCCCGTCTGCCTCCCATCTACCTAGTCGAAGGCTAGCACCGCTCACACTCCCCACAGCCGCCATGACCAGGCTCCTCCCAACCTATGTGCTGCGCTATTAGACTGATCTGTGTCCGATCGGCCACATGCTGGTAGGTTAATTGGATCCTGTCTAAATTGTCCCTAGTATGTGTATGTATGAATCTGAGTTAGGGACCTTAGATTGTGCACCCCTTGAGGGTTAGGGACTGATGTGAATGTACAATATATATGTAAAGCGCTGCGTAAATTGACAGCGCTATACAAGTACCTGTAATACATGATGGACATGGTAAGCACAGGCAGGAATAATAACTTTTGAGACAGGCTTTGTTGCCTGGCTGACTGATGGTTCCCCCAAGTGCCACTAGCTTAATAGATCCGCATGGACTAACTTTTTCATATCTATGGATAGCTTTATTGTTCCTTGCTGTCAACAAGTGTATTGAATAATTCTGAATGATCAGGAACAATGCACTTTCTATTTTGCTGCAGTTGCTAGCCAACAGATGAAAAAAAAACAGCTTCCATAAAGAATTTTAGCTAGTTTAGTAGAATTAAACGTCTTCTGGAAATACTAACTTGACCAACAAAATACCAACCTGTGTACAGAACCTGAGCTACCTGTATTCAAATTTTCAAAAGATGTATAGATCTATTGTTTTAAATTAACATAAATTTAAAGTAAACTAAAGTCAAAACTTTTTTTTTATTTTTTTTTGGAGTAAGGGAGGGTTTTAACACCAGCCAGTTTTCACTTTCTGTCCCATAACTACAACAGAAAGTGAGAGGAAATCCCTCCAAAGTGAGGGAAATCCATGGATATCAGCAGGGTCAACAGAACTAGTGAGCCCACTGGAAGATTTCCATTCTATTTCTGTTATGGTGACAACTCTTTTTTATGTTCCTTGATAGTGGCCACTAAGACAAATACAGAAGGTGAATATCTCTTTTGGGGACATAGACAGCAAAACAAGCATGCGGGGATGTGAATCCCGCTTCACGCCATTCAAAACTAAAGTTTTTCCTTTAGTTATTCCTTAAGATTGAGGACTATTAAGTTTTGGACCAATGGCTTTGCTGTTTTTTAGCAGTGTGGCCTCAAAGCCATAGTGAAAAAAAAACATGTCCATAGTTCCCTTCCATTGCACAGAGCAGCCCTGAAACCTCCTCTTCTCGGGTCCCCCACCGGTTCTCCTGGCTTCTCCTCTCTGTCCGATGCCCACATGGGAAGCCGCTTCCCATGAGGGCACTTGTGGGTGCTCACCCCCAAGCACAGCTGCTGCGTCCATTGACAGCGGGACTTGATCTCACCCCCAGCTCCCTTGTCACTGGCTTTGATTGATAGCAGGGAGAGCCAATGGCTCCTGGTGCCCCAGCCAGTGAAACCTGGAAGTGCAAGGTAAAAAATATTTAAGATTTGTACAGTTCAATGTGAGAATTGCCATAACGTCCTTTACTCTTGTTACACAGATCTCCTTTAACAAGACTTTACCTATGTGGGGCAATTTAAAAGGTCATGGGACACAGCTGATGACCTTTTCTTTTGCCCTTTGCTTAAAAAAAAAGCCCTTCAGAGCTAGCTCTCCATGTTATAGTGCTGTCCACTGCAGGTTGCACATACAGAAGGAAGCTAATGCTGTAGTCATGGAAGACAATGTAATGCTCCTGACTGTTTCCATTCAGTGATTAAGTATAGCTCAAGGCAACCTATTTACCTGTACAAAGTAATCTGGACAAGCCAGACTGTTGACAGATTTAGCATGAGACTGAAAAGTTCTGTGCATGTGTACAATGCATTTTAGCGACATGACACCTTGAGAAAATCTCTGTTTGCTCAAAGCACACAACTCCCTTGAAGACATTTTCAACAGCAAGTGAAAGAATGGCACTTCTGTAACATAAATACATTACTTACATGTGACGCTCCATTTTTGGATGCTTAAGATTAAAGAATGGGGAAAAGATCAGTTTAACAAGTTATGCAGTCTTAAATGTAGGGTTGGAACTGTCAATGGAACTACATGAAGCAATGTACAATTTATTTTTTTGTTTTTAGCGGTCTTGGCCATGCAGCATGTTCTACGTCAACAGATTTTAAACGATAAGTATGTTGTTTTTTTTTTTTAAATCATACTTACATAGGTGGATACAGCATCGATCCGATGCTGCATCTGTCCCCCTCCGGCTCTAAGGATGAGAACTGAGCAATCAGACACTGTTAATCACTCAGGTCTCCCTGCTGTTTTGAGAGCAGTGACTGTCAATCAGGTGGAAACAGGTGATTAATATACAGATTCCCAGTTCTTTATGCACAAGAATACTCTGAAGTGGGACAGGGATTGGGAACACCACACCACTAGTGCAAGAAGGAAGCTTAAGAAAAAGGAGGCTATCCTGGAAACGCTTTGGCTAGCAACACAATAACATTTGGGAGTGGATGCTGCTGCCTTCTCTGACAGGTCACTGCTGCCATTCACAAGGTTAGAACGACTTTCCGCTTGCAAACATCCAGAAACTGCCCCTAGGCTCCATTCATACCAGGATTTCTCAATTCTGCCCGCGATTTGAAAATGCGCTGTAAAAGTGAAAACACGTAATCGCATTTTCAGGTGCCATTGATTTCAAGGGCACATGAAAACACAGGGCGTTTTTTTGCCTCAATCGCAGCGCGTTAACTATAGGCAACATTTTTTATATTATTTTGGGTAGAGCAAGTGAGGGATAAAACTGGTAGATTTGTTTTTTGCCATCTGTGTCCCATTGCGGAGATTTCCCTTCACTTCCTATCCCATAGCCAAACAGGAATTGAGAGGAAATCCCGGCAAATTAAGGGAATTTCTTGGGGACCCCCAGGTCACCAGAATGAGTGTCCCCATTGGAAGATTTTCCCTCTATTACTTTTCTGGGGACAACCGCACAGTTGGGATTTTCTTTTACTTTCACTTTCAATAATAATGGTAAACAGGACAAACAGAGGGAAAATCTCCCTACCGGAGACACAGACAGCAATAGAAAGTAACAGGTTTTCTAATCCATCTCCTCTCTGTCCAAAACTAAAAAAAAAGTTTTGCTTTTAGTTATACTTTATTACTGGTCTCAGGAAGGGAAAGTCAAGCATTGCCCTGGACATTTTATCATGCAAGTGGTTGTGTGTAAATGAATGCTTTTTCACATTAAAGTGGTTCTAAATGCTGAAGGTTTTTTACCTTCATGTATTCTATGTATGAAGATAAAAAAACTCTGTGTTCAGAGGCCCTCCCAAGTCCTTACCTGAGCCCCCTCTGATCCTGCGACGTTCTCAACAGCCTTTGCTGTCTGGGAACTCTTCTTCCTCATTGGCTGAGAAAGCAGGGGGTGGGGCCGAGCTGTGGCCCTATGTGTCTTATGCCTAGTTCACACTGGCATTGAAAGCAGGCGTTTGAGGGGCGTTTATAATGCTCCTCAAATGCCAATGCAAATGATACTATGGGCAGCACACAATGCTGTTCACATTATCAAAACATAAAGCATTAACATCGTGTTGCTTCAAAATTGAAGCCTCATGTCAAGTCAGGAGGAGTTTGTAGCCTTTCAATGCCTCCCATTCAAGTCTATGGTGACGCTCCTCAAATGCACTGGTAGGCGTCTGCAGGGCATTTGCAGTGCAGTTGCAGAGCATTAATAACATTACAATTTATATGGACATATAGAGCAGCAGCTCGGGGACAAGCACGCAGCGGTAGCCCCAGGGTGAGCGACCTTCCCTGGGGGCACTGCTCGAGGGGGAGGAGCTTATCTCTCTCTGTCAATGAACGCAGACAGGGTGGCTCAGGAGCAGGCCCGTATGGGTGCCCCCATGGAAAGTGGCTTTCCTTGGGGGCACCATGCAGTTAGAGGGGGACCCCAGAAGAGGAGGATTGGGGCTGCTCTGTGCAAAAGCACTGCATAGAGCAGGTACGTATAGACATGTTTGTTATTTTAATTAAAAAAAAAAAAAAAAGCAAAGTTTTAATATCACTTTAAAAGTATTGTCATTTTTTTATGCACCAGTGGCGCAGTGTTGTTGACCCCTGTTTCACTGTAGTGTATTCTTGTATAGAAAGCATTTGAAAAACATTTCTGAGTCCTTGCTACATACTGGACTGTGCATCGATCACCTGTTTTCAGTTTCGGGTACCTTTGTGTACATCTGATGTCCTGCCTGTGATGTGTCATTGTCACCAGGGTCAAAAGGCTATTACAAGACAATATTGCATCCAGCACATTGGAAGTGCAGTACTGACTCTTTTTTTTTAAGCACATTGTGTGTGTTCCTAATACAGGCGCTCAGTGCACCCGTTGTCTGTTTGTTCTTTGTAAAGGTAGCACTGACATCATCCCTATGCTGTACATTGAGTGTGCAGAGGTCACAGCTGTGGGAGGGGCCTAGGTCAACCCACTACAGGCTGCTTGCAGAAAACTACAAAAGGGGGCGGATACGAGACCAGTCACCTATACAAGGAGAGAGAACAGCAGTGACCAGTCTGTATTCCAGGACACTCCTGCACAGGGAGATGTTGGCGTAGGTGTTTTATACTGGATTACTGCAGAGTTTTGGAAGATATACACAAAGAACAACAAAAAGATCCAAGTAAGAATACACAAGGCCCGTGTATTTACACTATTTGTGTTTAGTCTGGAATTCAGTTATAATTTATGTTGCTATTGCATTCATGGCACATTTTTGTATACACAACATATCCTTTTTTTGCTTCGTTTAAAATGTTTCTAGTCCCCCTTAGAAGGAAAAGCAAAATCAATGTAAATAAATGGTAAATGTACTGTATTGTGGATGAATCTGAAAAGCATAAAAACACATTGGGGTTGATTTACTAAAACTGGAGAGTGAAAAATCTTTTGCATTTGTGCATGGTAGCCAATCAGCTTCTAACTTCAGCTTGTTCAAATAAGCTTAGAGAGAAAACCTGGAAGCTGATTGGTTTGTATGCAGAGCTGCACCAGATTATGCACTCTCCAGTTTTAGTAAATCAGCCTCACTATGGGGCTGCATTTGCGTTTCTTCCGAATCTGATGCCCATGTACACAAGCCAATCAATGTTAGGCCTCTTGCACATGGGAGTAAAAAAAATGCTGTGTCTTTACTGATTTGAAATGAGATGCATTGTTTTCTATGGAACAATGCACACAGCTGAGCAAAGATCAGTAAGACATCTTTGAGTACAAAGCCATAAAACCAAAAATAGAAAATTTTGCTTTTGAGTGCAGTAATTTACGTGTCTAAGTATGTTTACGTGGGTATAAATGAATATATTACAGCACTGGCAATGAACAAAAATTCTACTCGTACACTACACACATTTACCCTCCTATAGCACCTATTAACACATGGTTTTTATGGAACATTTTACTTGGGATCTTTTTCTCAACACAATCCTGAGTATAAACATTAGTGAATAATTACACCCATTTGCAACTGGCCTTACAACAAATTCTAATTCTAAGGCTCCATTCAGACGGACGTGGACACCCATTCTGTGTGCAGGACGCATTTGTTATTGCACCTGCATTCACCCCAAGCTGAAAGCAGGCAGTCAATAGAGGTGGTAACAGACACAGCAGCTGCATGGACACAGCCGCATGTCAAAATCGGACATGTATGCAGAAGCATGGGTATGGATCCAAATGAATCCATGCACCCACTCCTGCATGCATGACAAATTTTTGCATTTGGATGTGTCCGGCTGCGTCTGTGAAGCCACTACATCTGCATCCATCTCTATACACTGCCTGCTTGTAGCTTGGTGTGGATGCAGATGCAATAACAAATGCAGCCTGCATGTAGAACGGATGTCAATGCTTGTCTGAATGAAACCTAAAATACTGCCACAAAATGACAGTTTATCTTGTTTGCAACCATGGCAATACGGATGTCCTGGAATTCGGATTACCCTGCACATGGGATTGGTTATTTGCTTTAAATATACTTAAACTTATCACACCTAAATTCAGGTAAATACTCAGACTAAATGGCACCCTTGAAAAATCATTACATGCATTTATATGTGTTTAGAAATATCCTCTAAATGCATGTGAATGCAGATTTGACAGTGCCATTGTGATTAAGGCTTCACTCTTTAAAGCTGAGGGTCACTTTTTGACATAGGCTGTTGTATGCTCTTTACGGCTTCCTCTCTCATGTCACAGTTCTCTAGCAATCCCTAGATAGCAGCTGTGAAACTCCATCTTGCCCCATTGGCTGAAATTATAGTTTTCATTGGTCTGACCCCAGCCAAAAGAAAAATAAAAGTCTCAGCCAATCAGAAAAAAAGCGATGAGATCATTGTATCTATAGATTATGTAAGAATCCAACTACCTTCATCATATGTCTAGTCTGAATTTTCACAGCTGCTGTCTAGGGATTACTAGAGAGCAGTGACAGGAGAAAGAAAATAATAAAGAGCTTGCAAAAGCATCTATACAGAGTTAATATTATACTGAATGGCAAGATTTTATTGAACGTGTTCACATTAAAAATAGATACATTCTTCTATACCATGTCTTCTGCATAGAGGACACAGGGTCTACTTACCAGTGGCATGACAGAACAGGTGAAGTGTTCCATGGACATGAACAATCTGGCCCTGATCACTTAGGAAAGGAGGAAGCAATTTGAGAACATCTGTGTCAGCACTAGACAGGACTTCAGGCTGCATGCTGGATAGTGAAGGATGTAATTCGGAGGCCATAGAGGACACAAAGGAGGTGGCAGAAGAAGGAAAAGGTATGGGAGATGAGGCTGTGTGACAGACAAGGACACAAGAGAAAGAAAGAGGGAACTAAGAAAGATCAAAGAAAGTAAAAAAGGATGCAAAACACTACTAAAAAGAAAGTTCATGCATTGAACAAAAGTTTGAAATTAGAATGATAACAGGAACGTGTACATGGGCCAAAGAATGACAAAAACACTAACTTACATTTCTTAGAATAAAATTATACTTTAATATTAGGGCATCATGAATTTACATTTATACAGAACTGTTATAGAAAAATAAACTTATTTTCAAAGTATAAACAGCAAGAATCACAGTGTGGTTTTGTCCTTTGTTTACAGCTAAACAATATAATACACTGAAAGAATGCCCTTCAATGAGTTTAACTAGCATGCTTTCCAGTCCGCATAGCATGTGGATTCTGCAGGCAATTAGTCTCAGTCTCTTAGTCTGCAGTTTCCTTCCAGTGTTTTCACAGGTAGGACCAAAAGTCACTGTTGAAAAGTCTTATTTTTCCCTTATAGTCCATAGAAATGTCAGCTGGTGCTTCCATTTAAGTACAACCAGCGCATAACTAATTCAGGGATTTTGGAAATGCTTAAAATACATGTTGTTCCACTATACACAATCTGTTTTACTGTGTACTGGAATTATTTGCATCTTTCCCAGTGTCAGTAGTTAAGTCCACATTCCAGTTCCTATTGTGACGCATAACAAGTAAAAACAGCTCAGACCGCTCACTGCCCTTTTCCTCACTCCATCGCTCTAATACCCAAAGGTTACAAGGATAACAGTTTTGTTTAACATTATGAAAAAGTAGGACAGTAAAGGTTGTGTTCCCTGAGAAAGCAATTCGAATTAAAAAAAACTAAACAGATCCATAGCAAAGCTTGCAAGCAAATTAACATAGATTATATATACAGTATTACAAATTTTGTTCTGGAAGTTTCATCTTCAAGTACTAATGAGAATAGCTGTACCCCTATGTGGGCAAAGTACCAGATACTTACCAATTTGATAAAAAAAAAAATAACTTCCAATTTGGAATTAAATTTATAATGTGAAAGCACTTGGACAGTCTTGTGCAAAGAAAGAAACAAAACTAAAGAGGAATGTAAGAAAAAAAAAATGGAAACGATATACAAACAATTCATTTAGGTTAAAACTATAAACAATAACCATATATCCTTTTATGAAATGGAGTGAAGCTGAACAGTTGGCTGCCAAGTAGCCCTATTACATCTGGCTCAGTTATATTACTTGAAATGAAAGCATCGGTTTCAATCACCGTCGGAGTCGGCGTATTTTATTTCACATTTGACATCAAACGGTTGGTCCGTTTCCTTTTCCTCGGTTGTTTCATCTTCTTTATGAGTGATATTGCCATTACCACATTCTGCATCCGTCTCATAGCCAGTGTCAGGAGGTGCTTTACCTGTCCCACTACTCTGCTTCTCAGTACACCCTTTTTCCACTAAGGTTTCCTTCAAACCCTGCTCACAATCTTTCAAGCTTGGAGGACTCTTCTTTTTGCTAGACAGCATAGCAGAGCGGTATTTCAGACAAGCGTCAGGAAGGAACCCTTTGTAGCAATTGTATATCAACAAGATGAAGAAAAGTAAAAAGAATACTATAACCAGTATTATGAGAAGAGAGCAGTCATTGTTGTTGGTCAAGTACAAGGCCTTTTCCACATTAGGAAGGGAGCTGAATACCTCTTCTGACACAAAGACTGTTGGTGTTGTCATTTTGTTATTTAGATATGTCATACCTCCAACAGATGTAGTTACTATTGGAGTAGTTGATGCTGATGTGGACATTTTGGTGGTTTTCTCTTTTTTCACTTTATACAATCGAGTGGTTTCCATCATTCCTTCCATTCGTGTTGATGGTGATGCAGTTGTGCTGGTCATGGGAGGTGGTGTCTTCTCGATCTTTAGAACATGTTTGATCACCAACTGGGAGAATACTTTTTTCATCACAAGCTCTTGTGACCAGCACTGGTAAATGCCTGCATCAGACTCCGTCACATTGAATATGATTAGAGCACTGTTCACAATATATTTGGGAGGGGCCATGCTAACGCTTTCATTATTGAATGTCCACACCACTGAAGCCAGATTAGACTTGTAAGAACATTTCATCTCTATTGTGCTTCCTGCCTTGACAGTATACTGCTTACTTTCCTGGATCCCTTTATCAGCAGAATCTAAAAAAGTGGGGCATACATCAACAGTGATTCTCTTATATTACTCTACAGCTAAAATCAATTAAAACAAATAGTTAAACTAATTGTACAAATGCAAGTCTTGCATTTATTCCTGCATATTCTGCATAATGTAGCTGGTGCACTGTATAATATAGATTAACACAGCACTTTTGACTGAGTTTGCATAAAGTTATATTGTGCTAAGGCTTAACTCTGCTATATACAGTATATTAGGGATGCATCGAAACCGGTATCAGTGCAGATACTGAGTATTTTCTTGAGTTCTCGTACTCGTGAAAATGCTCCCAATACCTGGAACCGATACTTTGCGGTGCGATTTGAGTCAATACAAAATGTATGAACGCAAATTGCAAAGCAAATAATAGCATGCAATTGAACAGGAAGACGGTGCGATTCTTGTCCAAATCACACGTGGTTTCCCCACTGTTCCTTTGTGAACCCAGGCTTGTCACATGAGCGGTGTAGGATACCTCACTGCACCAAACCCATTGCTGTCACAGAAGGAAAAGCTGAGGATCTGAAATCCCCGCGGCTTTCTCTCCTCTCATTGCAGGGATGACAGCATGGCTTTTGTTTGGTCAGCATCGTCATGGTGCTAACCAATCAGAAGATATCTAGCCGGTACTGTCATCCCTGCAAGGAGAGGAGATGAAGCTGTGGGGATTTCAAATCTCCAGACCTGTGAAGTGACAGTGGTGGTCCCAAATCCCACCAGAGCTCAGCAGTGGTGGCGATTCCTAAGCCTATCTTATGACTGGTCCTCTACACTTTCTCCTGTAGGGTATGGATTCCTCCATAGCTCTGCAGTGTAGGTTCTACACTTTTCTCTAAGGCACAGAGTGGAGAGTGGAGCATGATGCGTGCCTGGGGCTCAGTGTGCGGACAAGTACGGACGTGGCACTTCTCCCAGCTATTGCACTTATGGCTGGGTTGCTATGGTAGCGCCCCTGCAACAAGTTGCTGCCTGGGAGTGAGGTGTCTGTGGAGTGCGGGGAACATGGCAGCTGGCCCCTTCTCCAACAAGGTACAGATATGGAAGGGTGCTGGAGGGAGGAGGCTACATTTTATTGCAAAAGAGAGGTCGCATAAAAAAAAGCTGGGGATTTGAAATCCCTGCAGTTTTCTCTCCTCTCAGTGCAAAGATGACAGTACGGCTTTTGATTGGTCAACACCATCACGCAGAGATTTCAAATCCCCAGACCTGTGAAGCGGTTTTCTCTCCTCTCCTTGCAAGGATGACAGTATGGGCTAGATGGCTTCTGACTGGTCAGCATAATGACGGTGCTGGCCAACCAAAAGACGTACTGTTATCCCTGCACTAAGAGGAGAGAAAGTCATGGGGATTTCAAATCCCCAGCTTTTCCTGCTGTGACAGCATGGGTTTGGTGTAGAGAGGTTTCCTGCACTGTTCCTGTGTGAACTCAGGCTTGGGTTCACACATGAACAGTGGGGAAACCGCATGCAATTTGGCAGAAATCACACTGCATTCCTGTTCAAATTGCATGCTATTCTTGGAGTGCAATATGCAGCCATACATTTTTTGTTGATGCAAATTGCACAGCAAAAGTATCAGTGCTTGGTGACTGAAAGTATTGGTACTTATACTCGCTGATCAAAAAAGGGCATCGGTGCATCCCTGCAGTATACAGTATGTTGCTAGAAGTGGGCTTTTTTCATGAGCAGACCATTGAGTGTATGTCAGGTTGAATTATTAAGACGAGCCATCATGACTTTACAAATCTGTAAGGATTCTCATTTAAGCTAAATAACAGGTGACAAAACTTACCTGGACATTGAGAAGAATCACCATTTAGAGACTGAATCAAGGGCCTGTGGTTAAACAAGACAATTTATATATGAGTTGAGTTCACAATGCCAGATTCTCGTCAAAATTATCATTCAGCCATGCCAGAATTTCTTATCCTACAATACTCTTAATATGGTTTTATGATCCTTAAATACTTATAGGATAACTAAATACAAAGAACAAAAATATATTGCAGCTTATAGTCCTTAGATGTGGTTACTACATCCTTCCTTGTCAAATCCTTTAAGTCGCACTGAAGATAATCTTCTTTCCTAGCTATCTTTTGTAATCTACCAGTTGTCCTGCCCTCTATGTAATGGAGATGGGAGATATGGACATGCTTGGAGTCTATATCAGAAGAGCTGCCTATGGTGACAACCATTCATTCACAAACGTTCCTTTCATAGATAAGGTGGAGGAGTGATGTAGCCACCCAAGAACAGGAAGTGCGTTATTTAAAGGATTATTAGATGAAAATAAAGCAGCAGAAGCTTGAAAAAAAAAAAAGAAAACAAATGCAGCAACCACACCAGAGACCGTAATCTGCGATATATCACATTTTTGGTTTTGGGTTTAAATGCACGTTTCAAACTTTGTTGTGACTACTACCATTTTTCATATTTCCACTTTAGTAATCCTTCAGCAAAGGTCAATGACATGCTAGATTCTTTATATAGATAAATAGAAGCACGAATAAACTCTACATTCATGTATTTTCAATCATTTGAAAGAGAACCGAGGAATGAACTTCACTGCCCTTCTGACTAGAATGATAGCCCAAGCTAGCCAACACACCCAATATTGGGATGATATTTAACACAGAACAGAAAGTGGGACTGAATGGTTAAAGCAGGAGTTCCAGCTGACAAAAAAAAAAAAGTCAGCAGCTACAAAAACTGTAGCTGCTGACTTATAAAGACACTTACCTATCCCTCGGTCCAGCTGTGTCCTCACCACCGCTGGTTTCACCAGCCGTCTTCTCTCCCTGGCGCCGGCATCGTCAGTGTGGGCACCCGGCTGTGACAGCTTGTGGCTTTACAGCAGGGTGCCCACTGCGAACTGTGACGTTTCCTAGAAGACTACGGGGAGGGGGACAACGACAACTTCCGCTTCTGATCACCTAGGCGATTGCAGCAGAAGTGGGAGCGGGTACCTGTCAAATTCGAGTACCCGCTCCCCAAAGGTGCCAATCCTTAATGGGGAGCGGGGGATAATGCATTAAAGTGGAACTTCCCCTTTTGGGTGGAGCTCCTCTTTAATCGTGATTATATGCTTTATAAATGCAAATCTGGAAGAAAGTTTCTTGGCTATTCTTCCTTGCTTTGTGCTGTGAAAGAAGTAGAATCTAGTGCTACATTTACAGCTCATTGCATTGTACCATTTTAGGTACAGAAACAGCCATCTATGATCAGGCTCTATACATAGACCTAAAGTGGTTGTAAAACCTCTTACCTATACTCAGTGAAGTGACTGGCCTCAGGTGATACAAAGAAGTGAAAAAAATCCTCCTACAAAAGCTGTACCTGTTTATCTGTAGCATTTGTCCTGTACAACCTTGTAAAACTCAGATGAAAAAGATGGTTCACAGACTCAAACCAGGAAGCAGGAAGCTGCAGTTACACACTAGACAAGAGCTCTGAGAGTCAATTGGTGGAATGGGACACACCTTCCTTCACACAGCACACAGGAAAAGAGCTGAGGCTGTCAATCACAGGCTACATCACCTTTTTATCGCTTGGTGTCAGGAAAACTTGTCAGAAGTGACTCATGCAGATGACAGATGAAGGACACAGCAAAGATAATTTACACTTAGTGCTTCAGATAGAGGCAAGTAAATGCTATAGATATGTGTACTTTGTTCAGCTTTCATGACTAAGGTTTACAACCACTTTAAGAACTGTATGCCCAGCTCCAGAGCCTGACCTCCAATAAAATTATCATCCAGATTCTCTTCTTGCTAAAAGTACCTTCTGAGACCTTTCTACATCTGTAAATATACTCCTGGTATATAAAATTGTACATACATTTTAGCTTTTAATGGTTTCCCAAACATTTTACACACAAATATACATTGGGTTAAGATTTTGCAGGTCAATCTACACTAACACACATTTAGCTACTACAACTGTGTAACCATCCCCAAACCAGGCTGGTGTAGTGTAAATGATTTACTAAAGAAGAAAAGAGAAGGATGAATTATGTACCTGTCAGTGTCAGCCTCCAGAAGGATTTCAACACAGGAATTTTTGACAGGGTGCCAAGCACAATAGGGATCCCTGGTCAGCACACACTCAGCACAGGACGTGAACTTCTCGCAGAAAGCAACAGGAGACTGAATCACTTCAACACTGGAGCCAGCATAGATGTATCTTTTGTTCTGCAAAAAAAGAATTTCATAAAGGAAGATGTAGATAAAGCAGAAATGAGTGAACAGTCAATGCATATACAGTAATCCTGCTGGCAATACCTAGCCATGTACTGCCCTAGACACCACAATATATGGCAGCTGAACAGATACTGTGCAGTAACTGGCACCAAAAGCAATGTCATGTTAACGAGAAAATTATTAAAGCAACTGTGAAATTACAGTATCATGATGGAAAATGAAATCAGAAGGCTTGTGCTTTCAAGCATATACATTTTCCGCTGCAATTTCACTTATCATGCCAGTTGGGAGTAATGAAAGGGAAATATATTCACGGATGATGGAAAATAAACAGCTGCTGGCACCTGTGGCAAGCAGTACAGTTATTGTGAGCACAGCCAGTATTTCATTAAACAAAAAAAAAAAAAAAAAAAGAATCAGTGCAATAATCCTCATATATTAGCTTTGTTCTATGATACCAGGTTTTGCTTAGACTGCTCAATCTTGTCTGGCATTCTGGATATTTCAGCCAGGTCACTGCTGCTGCAGCTGCCATGCTTAACTCACACCAAAGTAAAGGAAGAGTTAAGTGGAATGTGCATGCCCAAGGATATTTTACCTAGTGGGAGTCCATTATAAAAAGGACAAGCTGCATTCATGGGCAGTCATCCATTCGGTAAAAAGTCTTTTCTGGTGACAAAGTCCATTAGCTCTCTGCTGACTGTACTGTGAATGCAGTTTAGCTCTGCATTTTAGTAAAAGTAAGCTGTTGGGAGTGTGTTTTTGTGTGTATATATATATTTATAAAAAGGGACTAAATTGTTACATAAGTGTTGTGTGTTAAAGAACACAAACTCATGGAAATGCATATTGACTGCAGTTACTTTGAAATTTTGCAACTAAAAACAAAAGGTTTACCTGCTTATTGGAAAGTAGTAATGTCTGGATTGCTTGGTGATCAGGGAACAACACTATCTCCTCAATAATACGCATTTCAGTGTCATTACTTATTGCTTTGTGCAGCATACCTTTATCTAAGCAGGGAAAAAACAAATATAAAAAAAATGCACACAATCCCAATAAAATGTAATATTAGAAAAAAAAATCAAAGTTTGTTTTAAAAGTCAACTTCCAACCATCATATTATTATCTAAACAGTAAGCACAGTAAGCATAATCACAAATATCAAGCAGAGCAATTAGAAAACCAGCCCCTATCACTCCTCCTGTTCTCTCCATATTAATAAACAAGATGCCATGGTTGTCCCAGCATCACACAATCACTTTTTCTGAAGGCAGTCAGGTTGCGCATGCACATCTACACCCTTGTAGGTCTAGAAGACTCACCACAGACAGCCCATACAAAGTGTCACACAGAGGGAATGTCTGCTTACAGCAAGATGTCATAAAAGTAAAGCACACAAATACAAAAACAGAGAACATTATCATTATCACAAACTTTGGACCTGCAGGTATACATAAAACTACATATAAGGAAACGCTGTACACATTTGGGGTTTCAGAATAAATAAACGTTCGTTGCATGCTTTTATTGCAACACTAGATCGTTAAAATAGCAAAGTTATATACTGCATATTTAAAGATACACACATCTTCATTATAGGTATTTTACAAGCACAAAGCATTTGAGTTTTGGATCTGTGTCTTATTTATTAACACTGCCCAGTTGCGTAGCAGTATTCTGTGTTTGTATGTGATAACAATTTTTGATAATTTCTATAAAAATAAAAAAAAATTATACATATATATATTTATTTATTAGGATCCTACCATTTAGTTCTGAAGGAGCTTTCAGAAAACAGTTCAGGTGGTGTTTAATAAATTTTTTACTGTGTTTTGCTGGAATGTGGGGCACAGACTTAAAAAAAGGAAGGTTTACAGGTAAATGCCCATTACAATTTCTATAAAACATAGTTTTTGTTCTTAATAGAACTACTAATTCAAATCATAACCACCGTTTTCCCATACAGAAAATTCAAAAGTAGAGAAACATTTATTGGGTTTCCCTCTGCAAATAGTCACAGACTACTTTTACTACTATCACCTACCTTTCATGTTACAGACAAGAAAGGTAGGTAACATGCACTTGTGCAGTGCTAAGACTTTCCTCTCACCTGTACTTAAAAACATGACATCGTAGCTATTGCCATCCAGTGCTTTGACCTGATCCACGACAATCTGAGTGTACGTCACATTCTGAAGCACTAGTCTAGGCTTTTTTCCTATGGGGGTCACAGACTCATCCATTAGAGGGTGATCTTTAACAAACTGTAACGTTTTGTCCGGCAGGTTCAATGAGCTGGTGTAGTTCATGGCTTTAGCCTCATTATTGATGCACTAAATCACAAGTTAAAAAAAAGGTTTTTTAGAATAAACAGCACAATGTTCTGCAAATATGAAAGACGTACTAAACAAATGTGATTTGCAAACAGAGGAGTACAGATCAATCAACACGTTCTTGGGACATTTAGAAGCATGGATGTCAGCAGTGAGAAGTTTGCACCACTAGGTTTTTAAAACTAAACCAGACAATTTGCAGATTTCTTGTTGAAAGTGGTTGTAAACCTCCAACTTAAAAATGAGCATAGCATATCCTTCCAGTGTGTATTTGCCTCAATCCAAAGTACCAAGTGTCATTTCTCTCTGCTGTCTCTTCCCTCTTCTTTCTCCACGGGTCACTGATTATGGTCCAACCTGACCCCACAGCATCTGGCTTACTCCGTCTCCAGCACATAACAGCTGATGGACAGCTCGCTCTCAGCTTGCATATATTTCCCTATGATTCTATGTAAGGTGTGTGGGGGTGTCATTTCCCTCCACTCAGGTTTCACTGAGCTTTGTGCTGTAGCTGCATAGAGTGAGACATGAGATCCCCTCCCCTGCCCTCACTGCTGAGAAATAGCCTTTGATCTGTGTGTTTTAGGAGCATGTAGAGAAGGGAGGGCTGCAAATAAACAGGTACAACTTAGGTAGGAGTATTTTTCTAATTTCTGTGTATCACTTAAGGCTTACACATGTAAGGCTTTACAACCACTTTAATTAATGGTTTCTTAAAGCATATCTGTGATCAAAATGTAAAATCATATATTCGTTTCCACATTAAAATACAGTTATTTCTAGCCAACCCCATATTAATCTGAACGATCTTGAAGCTTGTAAACATACTTTGTGATGATCCCCACACCTTTACTTCTTTGAATTCTGTGACACATATTCATTATGCCTAGTTGATAGGTACTGCTGTGCCACACATTTCACAGAGCCTGACTTCTGAACTACAAATGTGTTGAGAGGAGGAGCTTCAGGAGGCGGAGTTAGTACAGGAGACACTGCTTGCACGCAGCAATGTACCATGGGATATGTAGTCCTTAGAATGTGAAAGTAAACAGCAGGAGAAGCTGCAAAGCATGCAAGGAACCCAGATGGTCAGCAGACAGGCAGAGTTCAACATGAAAGGAGATTTTTCAACTATGCTTATACTGAATTGTAAAAAATAACTTATTTGTATTGCTATTATAATACTAATGATATAGAAATAAAGTGTATGTGGTGACCATACAACGAATTTAAGTGTGTGCTACTTAAAACTCTAATTTCTATTTATTTTTTTTTATTATTTTTCACAGTAAATAAAAAAAAAAATAGTCCATGGAGCATTTTTTTGTTTTTCAATGCTAGACAAGCCATTTTATCAGTTACATATTACTAATTTCAGATCAACAGTTCTACACTCAGAATATTAATATCAAGCCTGTTCTCTGTGCTGTCACTTTCAAAATTATCTATTTTGATGGATTGTAAGCAAACTGAATTGTACTAAAATATCCATGTGTTCTGGACCGCAGAAAAAAATTGAACATTCAAAAAAAAAAAAAAAAATCTTAGTCTTAACCACAGAGTGTGACCACAGGCATAGATCTCCAGTTGAAGGAATGACCACAATCAAATACACTCACCGGCCACTTTATTAGATACACCTTGCCAGTACTGGGTTGGACCCCCTTTTGCCTTCAGGACTGCCTTAATTCTTCATGGTATAGATTTAACAAGGTGTTGGAAACATTCCTCAGACATTTTGGTCCATATTGACATGATAGCATCCCGGCAGTTGCTGCAGATTTGTCGGCTGCACATCCATGATGCAAATCTCCCATTCCACCAAATCCCAAAGGTGCTCTATTGGAGTGAGATCTGGTGACTGTGGAGGCTCTTGGAGTACAGTGAACTCATTGTCATGTTCAAGAAACCAGTTTGAGATGATCTGAGCTTTGTGACATGGTGCATTATCCTGCTGGAAGTAGCCATCAAAAGATGGGTACACTGTAGTCATAAAGGGATGGACATTGTCAGCAACAATACTCAGGTAGGCTGTGGCATATAAACGATGCTCAATTGGTACTACGGGATACTAAAGTGTGCCCAAAAAATACCCCCACACCACACCATTACACCACCACCACCACCAGCCTGAACCGATGATGCAAGGCAGTATGGATCCATGCTTTTTATGTTGTTTATTAACATCTGAATGTCTCAGCTAGAATCAAAATTCATCAGACCAGGCAACGGTTTTCCAATTTTCAATTGGCCAATTTTGGCGAGCCTGTGTGAATTGTAGTCTCTCTTTCCTGTTGTTAACTGATAGGAGTGGCACCCGGTGTGGTCTTCTGCTTCTGTAGCCCATCTGCTTCAAGGTTCGACGTGTTGTGCATTCAGAGATTGTATTCTGTATACCCTGGTTGTAACGAGTTGGTTATGCGAGTTACTGTTGCCATTCGATCATCTCGAAGCAGTCTACCCATTTTCCTCTGACATCAACAAGGTATTTTTATCCACACAACTGCTGATCACTGGATATTTTCAGGCCATTCTCTGTAAACCTTAATGATGGTTGTGCATGAAAATCTCAATAGATCATCAGTTTTTGAATTACTTAGACCAGCCCGTCTAGCACCAACAACCATGGCACGTTCAAAGTCAGTTAAATCCCCTTTCTTCCCCATTCTGATGCTCGGTTTGAACTTCAGCAAGTCATCTTCACCACGCCTAGATGCCTAAAGGCATTGAGTTGCTGCAATGTGATTGGCTGATTAGCAATTTGTGTTACAAAGCAATTGAACAAGTGTTCCTAATAAACAGGTCGGTGAGTGTGTTTTAAAGCTAACTATTCTATCCATTAACAAAAACAATATACATAATATAAATATATATGACAATGTTGCAAAAGAAAAATAAAAATAAAACCAAAACAAAAAACTTACAGCTCCCGGACGAGGCTTGGGCACCTCTCCATTAAACTGCACCCATTTAGTATGTGCCTGTTCCACAGTGGCACTCTGCATGTATTTGCCCCTTGAAAACACTTCTTCCACACTAGATACTTTGTATGCACACACTGCTGACATGCCAACATTGTTTCTGTAAGGAAAGGAATGCATTAGAGTTATTATAATCATTGAAATTCAGTTGCCAATATGTTTTCTTTCTGGTTAAAGAAGTTTACAATCTTTAAGTGATACCAGATCTTTAGGTAATAAATCTCTTCATACAGAATATAACTTCTACCTAACTCTCAAAGCCTTCTCATACCAGATTGTGACTGCATAAGAGTATTTGCAAAATCTGCCAGATTTAAAAAAAAAAAAAAAAAAAAAAAAGCACCTCTGACTGCCTGTGGAACACAATTCGTGAAACAATCACTAAATTCATCTGACATCTGTTCAAAATGGCCATACATGCTACAATCTAACTGTGCCACCTACTTTAGCTTTACGAAGGCTGTGCACCATGAATGCCTAAATAGTCAGTTTCAGTTTGCATCCAATCGAGGAAGTCCTCATAATACATACAGTACTTGTCGTTAAATTGGTTGTAAACACATTCTATGCATTAAGATAAAAAAAAAAAAAAAAAAACCTTGCACTGCCTGTTACCCCCCCCTCCTCCCCCTCCCTAATACTTATCTGAGTCTTTTAGAGATCAGTGCTGTGCCCGGCTGCAGGTCTTCTCTCCGCTCTGATCTCAAAGGCTTTGCTGATAGCAGCGGGAGCCATTGGCTCCTTCTGCTGTCAATCAAACCCTGTGAGCAGAGAGTGGGAAATTGGGCCGAGCCAGGCTGTGTGTGTCTACGGACACACACAGCTCAGCTCAGGAGCAAGCCTACACACCTGCCCACATAGAAGAGCATCCCTTTAGAAGTGGACATCCGTAGAGACGTTTTGGGCAACCTTGGCACTCAGGCTGAAACTACAAATCTCATTATGCCTCTTTTTCTGGGAGTCATGCCTATGACTGTCAGTTCTGGAGTGCCTAATCAGAATTGAAATTCAAGAACAACTGGAGTCCTGAGGTCGCCCACCCCAGCCTTTTTTAGAGTATTGAACCGATAATGAACTTCCTTTTGCATGGGAAGTCGAACAATTGACTTCTCAGTACAAAAATCTTAAAAAGCAAAATCACACAATCAGGAAACAGGATTTCTGGGGGCATTCTATACTCCTCCAGGTTACCACCTTACAAGGAAGCTAAATCCGAGTGTTTGACACTTCTAGATTAGAGCAGATGCAGAATGAAATGAAGTAATACCTAAAAATATTAATGTAGATTTAAACCCAAATCATTAAAGCTAGCCATACATGGCTTAGTTTTTTCATTCTGCCAGCTGGCTGACCCGGTTTCCCCATCAGCACATTTGAGGTGGATGCAGAAATCCTGCCCGTTGTGGGATGCCCCGCCATCAGAATATACTGGTCAGCGCTGCAGCCGATTGAGTGAAAATATACGGACAAGCATATTCATGAACAGTTGAGATATCGACTTCACATAAAGTGTTACTAAAGGCAATTTTTTAAAAATTAAAATAAAAACATATTTTACTCACCTGCTCTGTGCAATGGTATTGCACAGAGCGGCCCTCAACCTCCTTTTCTGGGGTCTCCCGTCGGAGATCTCGTCTCCTTCTCCTCTTTGTGTGCCCCCTAGCAAGGTGCTTTCTTGCTCCTAAGCTGTGTGCATCTAAGGAGTCACGCTCCATAGACACACATAGAGCTGCTAAGCCCTGCCCTCCACCTCTTCCTCACAGCATTTGATTGATAGCAGCAGAAGCCAATGGCTCCTGCTGCTGCCCAAGTCTATGTGTGAAGACGTTTATTTACCTTAATGCAGGGAATATATTAAGGTGAAAAAGTGTTTTGGCTTTAGAACCACTTTAAAAAGCACAGATGTTTTGAAATTGTATAACATTTATAGATATTGAATCCTACTTACAATGGGATGTAAATACTCCGAAGATAATTGGTTCTTGCAAATCTGGTGATTTCAGGATAAAAACATCATTGATGACATTAAAAATCATATTATTCTCTGATGAGTGACATATCAGTCTGGCTTTAAGAAAGGTTGTCCACTTTTTCTGCAATGTTCTGAGACCACCTTGGTCACCCTAAAAATAGAGTAAAGTAATATATGATTTACATTGTATAATATGACATCACATAAGAAATAGTCCCAATGTTGAACAGGAACAGCAGTCGTTTGTAGAAAAAATAAAAGTCAGTACAAATACTTTAGCTGCTGACTTTTAATAAACAGGTACTCAGCAGCCCAGGAATTCAGCATGGTCATAACCTGGGCTGGTTCTTCACCAGTTTTCAGGTCCCTGGCGCAACCATCTTAAGTGTGGGAAGCCGGCTGTGACTTCCTATTGGTTCCTCACTGTGCATACAACAGATGCGCTGCACTTTCTGAATAGTCCCGCAGATTCCTGGAACCTGTTGTCGAGACCCAGGAGGTTGCGGGCAGGAGGGCTGAACTTCAGGCTCTGTACGCTTGGGGCGAGCACAGCAGAAATGGGAAATGGGAGAGTACCTGTCAGATGTAGGTACCTTCCCTGCAAAAAAAATAAATTATGTTTTTCTAATGGCATTTTTTGTTTTAGCGAGAATCATTTCACAGATTAAGGACAGCCCTTTCTTTGTCCACAGCAGCTGAATTTACTACACATCATATTGGAAAACATAAAGAAGCAACTTAAATATCTGAGTTCTATTGGTTAAATTAAAAAAAAATAAAAATCAATAAATATATCAGCTTACAGACCAATTGAACCCTTAGTTTAAATCGGCTACAAACATTCAAGTTGTATAGTTTCAATACTTCATGGACTAACTTGGAGCTGCTCTTAGGCCTGGTTCAACCAATGCAGTTTGTGTTTTGTAGTTTTCTGCAGTGCTTTTTCATGTTTTTGCACATTTGATTTTGACACTTTTTAATGGATTTTGCTTTTATGCTTTTTTAACTTGGCGCTGGGTACACTAAAAAGATAGAACACTAGGTGGTGCCTCTACATCTTATTAGTCACATAAGAGATGTATGGAGCACAAGAGTTTTTGTTGTATTGATGTTTTGCTTTTTGGCCGGTTTTGCTAGGACACCGGAATGGGTCCTCATATTTTGGGTGTCACCCCCAGTAAGATCGGCGACCATACGGCCGTGTTTGAGGGTTTAAAGTTCTCTGGCAACTCTAGGGTTAGGACACTGGAGCTTCTAACCAAGAAAATGGCGCCGGCACATGTGCAGTGGGACATACAGCGGCCATTTTTAGCAACCCGGAAATCACCGGCAAAATGGCACCCGCACATGCTCAATATGCCGGTCTACGGCAAAATGGCGCTGGCTGGATTATGCATTTTTCTATCCTATATATAGGGCTAATATGGCGTCCGGCGTGCATGGCATCACCCCTACTGCAGATGTGTGTTTACACGAAACGTGTCTAGGAGGAGCCCCTGCACGCTTTGACGCTACGCCGCCGGATCAGGAGGTCCGGCGGCCCACATTAGATGTATACTGCCCCAGTGATTTAGGTATTGCTGCAGACTTGATGAAGTAAATACTTGGAGATCAGATCAGTATCCTTTCTTTCACCACTGAGGGTCCATCAGAGGATTTCATTTCCGGGCTGTCTTTATTCAAGATCCTAGGATGCATGTGATACAGATATGCGTTTATTACTGGGTTTCTGGTGAGTAGGCAATCTATTCATATTATCACAACGGGAGACCAGATTGCACCTACAACGTCTGATATTTCACTGTGGACTGAGGAATCCATATATTTATATTACAGTGGACTTATTTTAATATTAGTATTATTTGACTATATTGATATTATTTTACTGTATTTTTTTTTTTTTTGGCCATTTAATTTGATGTAGCGCTGCACTCCTTGTACTTTTGAGTTTATTAGAAAGGTTTTGTGGTTCCTTTTAGTGCATTGGTCGCTTGTCGGATTGCGCTCACTAACTTATATATTTTTTAAAAACGCAAGACACATCAAAAACATGTCAAAATGCACCACATGTGGATTCTGTAGCATCTCCATTGAAGTCTATTGAACCAAAAATGGAAAAAACTTTGCTTTTAAAAAAGTCACTGACCCTTTACAAAGACGAATTGTTTTAAAAAACGCATAGATGTGAATGTGTCCCATAGGAATCATGTTAAAAAGCACCAAAAAACACATAGGTGCGAACCAGGCCTTAATGCCTACATTCAGAATTTGCCCATGATGTGCATGCAAATTTTTTTCTACTCCACTTAGTCCAGATTTTACAAAAGCAAAAAAGTGGAAGAGTGGAATAACCAGATAATTATTTTCTAAACTATACAAGAAAAGTAAAGTAAAAATATAAACCAATACTCTTCACCTTATAAAAAAGAAAGCCATTGCTGGCTTTCTGCTCACTTTTAGATTGTCTCACTGTGAGGACCCTACACATCTACATCTGCCCAAGAGACATGAAGGAGGTGCAAAAATGCTGAACAGCATGAGATCATTCACAGACTATTCACGGCATAATAGGCAAATAACTTAATAAAACTGTAAACAACTGACGACATCCAGTTATTGCTTCACTGTTACATATGAAATTTTCACATGTAATATATGAACAGTTCTAAAATGCTGAACTTTACTCATGAACATCATAAAAGAAAAAAATATTTACAAATATACTATACAAAAATCATAAATAAAAGCTTGCTTTTTTACTGCTATAATACCTTTATACACTCACCTATTCAACTATATAAAACTGCCATCATCAGTGTTACATGTCCTGCAAATATAATCGGCACCCATTCAAAAGATTTTCATTCATTTGGCTTTGTCTGTGAACAAACCAAGTGACAGACCTCAGGAGAGGCTTCGACAATACAGACTAGAATGTCCTAGCAGACTTTTGCTAAGCAGATGATAGGTGCTGTCATTAAACTGCCTTCACTGTGCCAGTTCATAAAGAGAGCAAACAGAAAGTGAGGGTGTGCTGTATGTAGCAGGACCCTTTAATTGTCATGCCCGTCTTAAGGTAAGCCTCGTCCACATATAAATAAAATATTAGTATTTAAACACTGCACTCTGCACTTTTCTTCCAAACGCAAAAGGCTTAGTCAGGAGGTAATGAAAATCTGTACTTGTTGTCTTAAGCTAGATGTCTCCACGGGCTTCCGGTTGCCTTGGAAACCCCCAAGATTAGGTTCAGCACTTTTATCTGCAGAGCCCCAGCATTTTTAATAGAAGATTTTAACCAAACAGCAGCAACGTGCTTAAATGGTCTGCTTATAACGGAAGATGAACAAAAAATTTGGATCAAACCTAATAGATATCTGAAGAGATTGCAGTGAAGGTTTGGTGTACAGGACGTTCAAAATTCTTAACACACTATGTAAGAACACTGAATATAGAATCAAAAAGGTCTTATTTTAGCAAGTGAAGTGATAGAGCACAACTGGACGCAAGCCCTTCCTCCCATGCTGCAATCCTGGATAGCAGATATTGATAACCCTCTTCCATATAACAAACAATTTTATATCCACAGGGGCAACACCTCTAAATATAACAAAATGTGGGACCACTGGTTGCAACATTCTGATACATACATATGAAACGGGGTCAAGTTGTCTTATTGAATACTTACTTTAGGTATAATTTAACTAGTTCTATTTATAGTATTTCTCACTGGCTATATGTAGGCACTACCATCCTATTATTATTTCTACTTCATATTATTTGTACCTTGTTGACTGATGCCACTTTCAGTCTTTGTATGTTCTGATCGTACTTCATGTGGCTTATAGTTCTTTTTTGGGCCGTCATCTATGTGCATATCAATGGTGTTTGGCTTCCTCCTGTGCAATTCCCTTATTTCAATAAAGTACTCACTTATCTTCAATGTAAAAAAAAGTCCTTTTTATACACACACACATATATATATATATATATATATATATATACACACACACACACACACACACACACACACACACACACACACACACACACTATATTGCCAAAAGTATTGGGACGCCTGCCTTTACACGCGCATGAACTTTAATGGCACCCCAGTCTTAGTCCGTAGGGTTCAATCTTGAGTTGGCCTACCCTTTGCAGCTATAACAGCTTCAACTCTTCTGGGAAGGCTATCCACAAGGTTTAGGAGTGTGTCTATGAGAATGTTTGAGCATTCTTCCAGAAGTACATTTGTGAGGTCAGGCACTGATGTCGGACGAGAAGGCTTGGCTTGCAGTCTCTGCTCTAGTTCATCCCAAAGGTGTTCTATTGGGTTGAGGTCAGGACTCTGTGCAGGCAATTCAAGTTCCTCCACCCCAAACTTGCTCATCCATGTCTTTATGGACCTTGCTTTGTACACTGGTGCGCAGTCATGTTGGAACAAGAATGGGCCATCCCCAAACTGCTCCCACAATGTTGGGAGCATAAAATTGTCCAAAATGTCTTGGTATGCTGACACCTTAAGAGTTTCCTTCACTAGAACTAAGGGGCCAAACCCAACCCCCTGAAAATTAACCCCACACCATAATCCCTCCTCCACCAAACTTTACACTTGGCACAATGCAGTCAGTCAAGTACTGTTCTACTGGCAACCGCCAAACCCAGACACATCCATCAGATTGCTAGACAGAGAACACATCTCCACTGCTCTAGAGTCCAGTGGCGGCATGCTTTACAGCACTGCATCCGACACTTTGCATTACACTTGGTGATGTAAGGCTTGGATGCAGCTGCCCAGCCATGGAAACCCATTCCATGAAGCTCTCTACGCACTGTAGTTGTGCAAACCCGAAGGCCACACAAAGTTTGGAGGTCTTTAGCTATTGACTCTGCAGACAGTTGGCGACTTTTGCGTACTTCAGCATGCGCTGACCCCGCTCTGTTATTTTACAAGGCCTACCATTTCATGACTGAGTTGCTGTTATTCCCAGTTGCTTCCACTTTGATACAACACCAATAACAGTTGACCATGGAATATTTAGTAGCAAGGAAAGTTCACGGATGGACTTATTGTACAGGTGGCAAACTATCACAGTACCATGCTTGAATTAACTGAGCTCCTGAGAGTGACCCATTATTTCACAAATGTTTGTA